CAAATCTCAGCTTTATCACAGACCTCTTGGGTACTCTTTAAGTCTTTATCTCTGTTTCAGTTTTCCCACCTAATAACAGTGAATATCACATACTTACCCATGTGACCGAATGCTGCCTGGCTCCCCTGTCTCATTTCATAAGCCTTTAAGTCATTATAATTGAAAAAGGAATGACTGTTACACTTTACTTGTGGAGTGCTTGATGCAGCATTAACTCCTCGTCCCACAGAGATCTCATTTAGGCCAAGGCATCAAGGAGATAAAAGAACTAGGGAAGCCGTGAGGAAAGATGATTAGAACATTGGTTTATAAAATCTGCCTTTGACTTTATTCCTTTACCTTTCAAAATGCTTTCCAGGGATTTCTTCAGCAAATCACTCACACCAGAGAAACATTTCTTCTGGTCTCTGAGATATGGGCAGAGGCAGAAGGGGGTAAAAGATATTTGGTGGGATCATGGGGTGCCAAGTGTAAGGCACAAGACAACACATCACTAAAAGAAGATGGCAAAAGAGTAGCTCGAGGTGTAAGAAAACCTTAAATCCAACTAGAAGATTTAACATGACCTAGGAAATCCCGTTCTAATTAAAAAGTTAGAAAGCTAAGAAAAAAAGCAACGAATGCATTGTTTCCTACAGCCCACTGTCTCAGCATATGTCTCAAGAGGAAAGGTTGTCCATATAAACAAAAACCTGCCCAACAGCAAGAGCCCACAGACAGTGATTCCTCAGTGATGGGACAGCAGTAAAAACAATGAAACAACGATGTGTACACACACCTTAAGGTACTGCTGGATCATGGCTAGTTTCAACCTCTTGACAGCCTCTGTGTCATCTGGATCAGCCTTGACACGTTTCCGGACTACATCCCGTGTGAAGACACCCACACTATTCTGGCTCTCAGCATTGACTGGTTTACCTCGTTGGAAGAACTCCTGAGTCAGGTTATAGACCTGTAAGAGATGGGACAAGGAAAATGGACATTGTGATTCAAAACAGCATCCAAGCCCCCCCGCAGGACGCTTTTTCCTCCATCCAAAATCCAGCATGTTCAGGTTACCTTCCCTTGCCAACCTCTGAGATTTAGTTCATTGCACACCCTGCTCCAACACCACGTGTGACTGCACCCACAGCTGTGCTGGGTAGAAGGAAGGAAACAAGACTTCCCTCCACGCAAAGACAAATGGCCTAAGATAATCACCCTTACTTGCCAGCAACAGCCTACTCACCATACTTCATTATTAAGTTAATATTAACTATTAAGTGATTATTTATTGGAACATGTGTTTTCTATCACTCGCAGAAGAGCAGGTGACATAGTCCATTCAAAGTCCTCTTCCACCTCTGTGTCCCAGGTGCAGTCCCATATCCCTGACATTTTTCAGCCCTGGATTTCCACTCTATCAGCTACTTAAAAGCAAGAAAACAACCATCCACCTTGGCCACCTGCTTGTGGCTGTCCAGAATACATCAATATTTCTGCCTCTTAAGACTCTCAGAAGAGCATGCAGTTGAATCACGGCTCTTCATCTCAATGGAAAAACTCTGAGGAATCTTTTAACAGAGGAAAGCTTTTAAAAAGTGCTTCCCAGAAGGGCAACTCATCCCATTACTGACTTGTTTGCCCAGAATGAGTCACTGTCGTCACCATCCCTGGAGGCTGGGGACATGGTTAGTGGGCATAGTGGTGATGGGTTGACTTGATGACCTTAGAGGCCTTTTCCAACCTTAATGATTCCATTCTCTCACTTACATCTCTGCTCAATTTTTCCCATCTAAGTTGGTTTCACTAAAACTCATCATCTTTCTTTGGAGACAGATGAATTAAGCAAACTGAAGGCTTCAGCTCATAAATAAGCGCTTGGCAGGCAGCTAGCTGTCCATCAAAGGCTCCAACAGCTTTTCATTGTCTACTGATACAGATAATTAATCATGTTCCAGCTTCTTTCACCTCAGTGCTCCTCAGAAGCTTGACTTCCCCTGGGGTTTTAGAAGTACTGTGAATTTCAGGAGGCAAAACGGAAGAATAATGAAGATGGGAAGGTGCTGAGAAAAAACATACAGGAGTGGTAGGAACAAGAGAGAGCAGGTCTGTGAGTAAATGGAGGAGAGAACAGATGAGGACAAGTAAAGAATGAGGAGAAAACTGACAACAAAAACATAGGGGAAAAAAGGGAAGTTAAGTGTAAGAATAAGAAAAATGAGTAGAGGAGCTGAAGATAAGTGAGACTTGCAGACACTGAGACATTAAGGCTCTCCAAGGAGATTTCCAGGTGAGAAAGGTGAAGACCAATGCCCTTTACAAAACAAAGGCTTCCAGCAAAAGAAAGGGAATGGTATCTTGTCTATCTCCTAGAAACAGCAATAGAATTTGGCAGTTTCAGCACCCCATTACTCTCAATCTATAGATTCCCAAGGCCCAGACCATCTCCAGCAAGTACAAGCTGCAAGGACCTTGAGTCAATGCAGCTCAGCTTCCATAAGCTGATTGCACACTATAAGCAGATAACATGATCACAAGACAAGCAAAGCTGTGTTAAAATCCAGCTACCATTTGGCCAAAAGGATACGTGAGCCATGGGTATGTTTTTATTAACTGTTGAACTCTTCATTGCCCAACAGAGAAAAGAGCAGAAATGCCCCCAACTCATTGTGCTCACCAAGGAAAGCTGCTCCTATGGATGTCATCCCATCAATCAGATAATGAATGAGCATGATTGGCACCCAGATTTACTATTTTTTTTTCCTCAGAATCCCTGTTATTTCAGTGCTTTTATCCATTATCAGGAAAGAAGCTTGATAATAGATGACAGCAAATCCCACATCGACACATCCTACATCTGGGTTCAGGCAGTAAAGTTAGCCCAAAAAGCACTACCAGCAGAAGCACAAGAAGTAGAATATCTCAAGCAGCTACACATTTTAAGCACATTTCATCCCTAGTTCTGAGGATTTACATTCAATCCTGAGGTTACATGGGGTTGAAGATGAAATATTAAAATATGATCAGGTGTTAATGGAAAGGGTATGATCCTACAATGGCTTCCCTTCTTCTGTCTCCTTTCTGACTTGCTTGGAAGCATCCAATAACAGGGGTCTCTGAAGGGAACGTGGGCTCTACCAAGGATGTCCCGTCTATTACCTACATGTGTTTATATGTCAGTGCTCACTTACCACAGGAAGAGGCAGTTTCTTAGGAAGAACAAATCTAAATAAAGAAGCTCCTCAGGGCTGAAGGAGGTCAGGAAAGCACATCCCAAGCCACACTTCTTCCTGTCAGCGCCAGTGATGATCCATAGCATTGCCTTTTCCTCACTTTGTTAAAAACTCAAGTGATTTAATCCCCAATCAGCCCTAGACCTTGATGGAAATAGGCTCATGTTGTTACTAGGCCAGACATCTGCCAGTGCAAAAGAAAGGCAGGGAGGGAACTCTGACTCTCGATAGCCCTTTGGTCCACCTCTCTAAATAACACAACACGCTGGAGCTTAATTGGAGATGGCACAAAGCCCAGCACAGGGTGGGGGTGTGAAGGGTGAAAAACTTTGTCATTCTTTGGCTGCATCCCTCCCCAGTGCACAGGAGAGAGATAACGAGGCCATTAATTAGCTGATTGTTAAAGAGAGAGTTCCTGAGAAGCAGACCATTAGGGACCATGGTCTAACTGAGAAGTCTAAGTAAAAATCTACTGCTGGCCAGTAGAATGCAAAACACACGGGCAAGCATAGTGCATTTAACTGAAGCTCACCACCTCCCTGCCATCCTTCACAAATACCTGGGAACTGGCAATAAATGCTTGTTTGCAGAGGAAAATGAGGACTAAATAGTGACAGAAGTGACCCATCTTAACTCTAAGATAGGCTGTCCTCAGTTACACTTTTCCCCATGCACACACAGCTACTCAAGCTGCATACATAACCCCATCCTTCCCACTCCTGCCCCTTTTCTTTGTGGGTCACACATAAGGAAATAGAGTCCTAAACACTTCCCAGCCCCAAGCTCCCCAAATTATCCTATCCAGAGCAGAAAGAAAGATGGGAAGACCAAGAACGTGTGGCATCACACTCTGGTGAACCAGCCAGTGGCACTGAAGGATGTGGTTAGTGGGCATGATGGTGACTGGTTGATGACTTGCTGATCTCAGTGCTCTTTTCCAGTCTTAATGATTTTATGATTCAGTGCTGGTGCACAACTTTTTCTCCTTTCTTTGAGGGCAAATGGACCTCATGGACCTGAATAGTGCCAGTGCTGCACAGTGCAAGGTCTGAGACAGTCTTAAAACAACAGTTGTTCTCAGCTAAGACAGACTCTCATAGGAAACTTTCTGCTATAAAATGAAGATGGCTCAGCTTCCAGTAACCAGATAGAGGCTTCTGTGAGGCACCCTTTCAGCTGTTAGAAATCCAGGCTACTGCAAACAAAAAGAAGCAAAACTCACATAGAAGCAGAAGCCAGCCAAAAAAGATTGGATAAGTGCCTGGAAAAAGCCTCAGCACTCTCCAGATGAATTAGTGAGGCTAAGTTGGAGATACTGGGATACACTGCTATTCACACAGGGGGAATTCAGTATGCAGAGGAAGACCTCACCTTGTTGGCTGCAGTCTCAGTGATCCCATATCTCCAAGTGAAACACTTGAGGGAGATCCTCTGTGCTTTGCACTCACTTGAATGTGGTATCCAAATGACAAAATGACTGAGACTAGAGAAATACACACGGAGAAGCAGAGGTGGAGGCACACACAAGAGCCTAGGCACAAGGCTGCAGCAAAAGGAGAGCAGTCTGAGAGCATGGGAAGCAAGCATGCTGTGCAGGGGAAGGCAAGCATCTGAAGCTGTGACAAATTTAGCCTCTGTCCATTCAGGACTACATTTTCCACTGTTAATGCCAGTGCTCCATTCCTGATTAGGCTTTGCATCATATTTTTTTTTTTTTTCTTCTCTTTTTTAAGTCAGGACAGCTTGTGTCAGTCACAGCCTTTGCTATATGAGTCTTTTCTACAGGGGGAGATGCAGCCTGAGAGATGATGTTGGACCAAGGCTTCAAGAAGGGTCTGGGAGCTCCTATAATGCAATGCAGGAGCCTGACGACAGGGTTTGGTGATCTGTAAAATGATTGTTTGTGTTGGGCAACTTCACAGTATTCTAACACCTATCCTAGGAGATAGAATCCTGTCTCCTAAAAGTGAAGAGTGGCAGAACTGAAGACCAAATTTCTACTGCTTCTTCCCAGCACCCATTTCATCACCAGAGAAAACAACAGGATATTGGGCAGCTGGGACCAAAAGGAAGTTGGAATGGACTCTTGTGAAAATGCAATAAAAAAAAAAAGAAAAGAAAAGAAAAAAAGTGGGGTAAGAAGGAGGAGAGGAAAAAAAAATACAAAAGCACCAGGCTGACTCAGCACATGTAAACAGAAACATTCCCTGCACTTATGTCAGAGGAAAAGGTTCCCAAAGCCGCCTGCATACTGCACATGTTCCTGTCTTCCCCCTCACTGAGGCATTTGTATATACATACAGTCTTTTTAAGTGGTGATTTTCAGGTCACAGAAACCACTCTTCCTGATGGGTGCAGGGAAGAGCTCAGTCTGCCCTGTTAACTCAGACTGTCCAATCTGACACCTTGGAACAAGAAGCTAAATAAAAACATGGGCTGCCCTGCAAGAAATTTGAGCACGCTTTGAGGGACTGAAGAGAAAGCAGAGCAGTCAGAGGCTGCCTGATGTCCTCTCCTTGGGTAAGCTGTCCCTCGTAAATTCTTTACTGTAGAGAGTAGCTGTAGACATTTTTACAGTTCATAAATGTGAAACCATTCTCTGTTTCCTAGCAATAAAGATATCCTGTGGCAACGATAAGCTAATTACACGCTGCATACAGAAGATTAACTTTAAATGTGTTGTTCTCTCATGTCACTGGCTGCCTCCTTTTTCTTGCTTTAAAAGGAAGGGCAGATTTAGCAAATTAATCATTTTTAAAACAATGACACGTTGTTACAGCCTCTATCTTACTGACTGTATCTCAAAGCCAAGTAGCTCTCATCTTTTTAGTCCCTTTTCCTTTCAGAGTCAGCACCTGACACCCTCCCTTTCGTGGAGACTTTCTTAATCATCTCTGAGATAGGATGATCACTGAGCAGTGCAAGGAGTTGGTGGAGTTTCATTTACATAAGTAATGCTGCTCACTGAGGTATTTTCACTTACTTCCTCCTTCTCTTCGATTCTTATATGCTGTTAATCTTGCTCCACATATTTAACCCATCTTTCTTTCTGGCTGGTTGTGGTTCTGTTTTGACCCAGTAGTCTGAAAAAGCAGTTCAGATGAATTATCCCCGCTTACATTTGTCCAGAATGATCTCCTTTCCATGCTGAATTACTAAATAATTCCATACTAAATTCCTAAGATTGCTAAATTCCCCCTATAATGAGGCTTCTTTGAAATTCCTATGACTTTTCTCTAAAACTGATATAATTCTGTGCCATCTCATCACAGATTGCAGTTTAGAGCCCCAGGATATATTACTAAAATTCTTTCCAAGTGAAAAATCCACATCCCTCCTCCACATTCAGTTCTTAATAATTCTTTACAGGCTACAGTGATTTTTCTGTTGGAGACTTTCTAAATTCTGATGGACAGATTTTTAAACAGAAACTATCCAAGGGTAATTCACTCTACTGTGTGTTTATCCATGCATCCGATGCTATAAAGTTCAGTCAGATGAAAATATGAAGGTTGTGGGCATGCCTACAGACCGATGAAAATAATAATGTTTGGCTGTGATTTGGATCACAACTGTGTTGCCCAGTTATATCAACGTAGTGTTGGTGATTCTTATCTAAGAATTTAACACTGCCTTACAGCTTCTTCAGCAGAACTTAATCTTTCCATTAAACATTTATTTCCATTTCCATCTTGCAGTCTCCCTTTCAATGTTTTTAGGTTCTGCATGTGTAATTGTGCGGGTTTTTTTCTCCTGTTTGGCTCTTCTACCACATCCTGAAGACCTCTTGTGTTCAGTGTATATGAGGAGATCAGTAAACACTGAGCAAAAAAAAGTTAGAAAGACTTTAAAGCAAAGCCAATGCTGGCCTGAATCTACAATAAAAGATGTCCTTTTCCTTCTGATGCAGGAAAACTTGCAATTCCTACGACACAGAGTTGACTTTGGCACACTGCACTGTACACTATGGTATTTATAACATCAATAAAATGTCACAGGGCTACAATGTTTAGCTGGTTGTTGCTAAGCTTTTGCATTCTGCTTTGTTTAGTAATTTGATCCCTCCTCTTACCCTTTTCATTAAGTAGCAACTTTCTAGAGCAGATGATTGGGTCTCCCCAGCAATCACTGGAAGCGATTAAATTGACGTCGTGGAAAAATTGTTCAACAACAACAGTAATCCCACAGCAGAGACAAACGGGTTGTGCTTAAGATGATGAGCAAAAACTTAGGGTTGATTTTTTGAAAAGAAATTCAAGACATTACTGGATTTCTACCTCTGTAGAAATAGCAAAGGCTCCCAGTGTTTCATGCAGAACTACAAGCTCACCTAGTAGTACACAGTACAAGCTCACACTGAATACCAACCTCGTTGTATAAATCACTGAATTCTTCAACCACATCTTTTGGGATCCTCTGCCCGTTGTTGGTAAGATGATAAGCCACCCCATTCTTGGAGTAAAGACTGATCCGGCCAACGCTTCTCTCACCATCAGTAGTCTCTTCAAGTAAACCATTGTCTTCTGCTAGATGATAGACTGGGTTTCCATGCGAACCATGAATCCACGTAGCTCCCAGTTCAAAAGTGGCGTGCCCTGCAGGACAGTAAATAAAGCACACCAGTTTTGGAAGCACATTTTTTTGAAAGCATGAAGGGACGCTTCCAACAAAGATACATTACAGTGACACTCCTCTGATACTTAAGGTGAAATACAGAATCCTTTAGGTTCCCAGTTCCTACCATCATTGTTGTCAGCTGCTCTACCTTTGCTACCCTGCCTGTCTAAATCATCTCTCCTAATCCTAAGACCTAAGAACACAACTGAACAGCAGAGGATGTACTGCTCGTGTTGAAGTTTAAGCTGTGTTGAGAGCTGGGGAGGGAGGAAAAGCAAAGAGCTGTAAGGAGCCACGCTGCAACACTGCAAGATATGAGGACACATAAGAAGATAGTTACATAATACAGAAAGAGAATCAAAGAATCATTAAGATTGGAAAAGACCTCTAAGATCATCAAGTTCAACCATCAACACTACCACCATGCCCAAGTATGAGAGAAATAGCATGTATAGGTTACTTTCAGGTACCTGCTGTACTCTAAGGAGGGGATAGAAGCCCAAACACATGGAGAAAAAGCAACGACAGCAGGGAGCAGGAAGAAAAACTGGACTGCCTTGAGACAGCAAGACTGATCTACAAACTGAACCCATTCCCATAATTAAAAATGAACGTTATTTACAAACACGGTTTGTGTTACATTTGGTTAATACTCAGACCAAATGAAATAGAAAAATGCATTTCCATTCCCCAAATGAGGGAACAGATGCCATTTTACTACTGATTCCCTTGAAAATTTCTATCAGGTTCTTTACAAGCTGCAGGTTAAGCATCAAACACATTTTGCCTTCAGCACTGCTAGCAAAACAGAAAGAGTTTGGTCAGTCCCACTGTCCTCCTTTCCTTTCGACTAACAGAGCCTGAACCAGCATTGGGCTGATGGCACAGGACAGTGTTCAGCAGCTGGAAGGAGGTGCTGAAAATAAGCTGAGGTCACGTCTCTTACCCACATTTCTACAGATTCTCAGAAGTCCTGCAGCAAAGTTTAACAGAGCAGCGTCCCAGGCAACAGCACACTGTGCAGCTCACTCTGCAAAGGTGTGCAAATGCCTCATTAAGTGGGATGCTAATAGGATCTGGCTCGATAAAGGAAGGATCAGGCAGTTAGCAGTCATCAGATACTGTTTAAGATGGAAATTGATGCTCAGCTAGAAAGCCACTGCAGCACCACACTCACACAGTCAAGTTTAATAGATGAAAGCTCCAAGAAATGTGGCTGAGGCATTGCCTCAAAGAGAAACTCTACATATAATCTCATTTTTCTGAGCAGACAACAGCCTTGTCATTGAACAGCACAACTTTCCTTCAGAATACACATCAGAAGACTTGAGTGCTACAAGTTCCTTACGTGCATCCTTATGTGTGTCTTATGTGCTCCTAACACAAAGTGTGGGGTTCAGAGCGTGCAGCATCCAGGCACAGAGATGAATACTGAAGACACTGCAAATCCTAACACAGTCCCTGCACACCCAGCCTGGTGGAGACGACTGCTGCACATTGGCAGCCAAAGGTACAAAGCTCATAAATATTGCATGTGGCAGTCACCTCATTAAGGCAATCCTCCTGCGAGTCATCAATGCCAGATCAGTAGCAGGAATAGTGCCTGCTGCGTTATGTCAGGAGCTTGCTCTCTGCAGCACTAACAATCTTCCTGCATGGAGCTCTTATTTATGGGGGCATCTGAGCTTCGAAAGAAGATTGGTGCTCAGTTGCATGAATGATGCACTGCTATTTTCAGTATTTGCACGGAATGTCATCAAATACCAACACATTGAAAATAGTCATTCTTGCCTGTGGGACTTAGAAAGGCACAATCATCTCCAAGTGGATAAGCTAGTCGTTACCTAATGTAAGTCACATGAGCAATTATTTAAAAGTGTCACATTAAAGAACACATTTTTTAAGCAGAGAAAGTTAATTTATAGAAGATTTTTTGTTTCAATCTACTTGGAATGAATCCATCCATACAACAAAAATAAAGTCTACTTCCTACTCTGCAAATGAGATTACTGAGACACAAGCAGCAGTCAAAACAGGCCTGTGCACAACAATACACCAGAGCAGCAGCTTTCCAAAGGAATGCACAGATTGCATATCAAGCCTTCTGACTACGCACAGGAACTCTCCCATTTCCCTTTGAAGCCCTGACTATTCCTTGCGTATCCTGTGGTGAAATATCTGCAGTGGGGACAGATGTCATGGTTCGTGTACAACAAACACACAGTCCAGAAACAGAAACCCTCTGCCTCACCTGTCCTAGAGGGTTCCCCTGTTCTGCTGAAGATTTAAAGCAGATCTTCAGACAAGGAGTGGCTAGGGAAGTGTAACATTTAAATGCTGTTCAGACAGATGCAGATCAAAGCAGTCACATGTTGAAGACCCAGAATAACCACTTTTGTAACCATTTTTGGAAGTTTTGGACAATTCACAAAAATGAGCAGGTCTTGCATGCCCCAGGTGCAATCTTGCTGTTTGGAGCAGTGTGGAATGGAAAAAAAAATAGAACTCAAGATTATACTGACCTTTTGCCTTGTATCAGCAAATAGGGAGGTTGTGGGCACTGCTGCTGCTGAAGAGTTCACCACTCAACATAGCTCCAAAATCATTTAGCTAAAGGGAATGTGAATCTGTAAAGCATGCAAGGGGCCAGGACATGCTCTCACCATGGGAAAAAATTGCATGCAGTCAATCCCTGAACAATATAATCTTGGTACTTGAAAAAGATCACTTGAGTTGGAAGGGAGCTTTAAAGATCCGCTGTCTCTCTTTTGCAATGAACAGGGACACCCACAGCTTCACCAGGTGCCCAGAGACCCATCGTGCCTGACCTTGAGCATCTCCAGGAATGCCTCACATCAGTTAAAGTGATAACCAAGTGGAAGTAGGTTTCCAAGCAAAGGTAAAGAGATGATGAGTAACTAATGAAGGTGTCCAAAGAAAGAACAGCTCTCTGTACTAGTAGCACAGAATTATTTCACAGGTGCACTGACAAAATTATATATTGTTCCCTGAAGATTTCAGATCTTGACACTTCCCTCCTCTTGCAGACACGATCCAGGATATTTTTAATACAGTGCATTGTGTGTAGAGGACACACTTCCCATTTTAAGCTCTATGCCAAGTCTCAGCAGAACGTAAAGTGCCCTATTCAAACCCTGGAAATCAGATTTGCCTTTTTATTCATTTCCCTTCTAAAAGTTCATAGGACATCACTGTTTATTTATTGTGATGAGTTTATACAGTAAAATATAGAAAGTGATGTTAGATTAAAAAAAAAAAAAAGAGGCCAGCAAGAGGCCAAATCTAATAAATATACAAAGGTATCAGAAACAGAATGAGTTAACTGAAATAAGGATGGCAGTTCAGTAGAAGCAAAGAGTTTTTTGCTCTTGAGAACAGACAGGCAATGCCCTCCTAGATACCAAGGGAAAGCTTCACTGACTACTGAGCTGCAAAGGGCTACACATATCACATCATATCATATCATATCACATCATATCATACCATATTATGGAATGGCCTGGGTTGAAAAGGTCCTCAAAGATCATCTAGTTTCAACCCCCCTGCCGTGGGCAGGGTCACCAACCACTAGACCAGCTTGTTCCACTACTTTGCATTTAGAGATTTTACAAGCCCTCCTAACTGACTTGAGAAAGGAAGCCACAGAGGTAGGAAAGTAGGAAGCCAGTATGAAAGGATACACTGAAGAGGGTTTTCCAGCAGCCTGATTCGCAGGGAGCAGTTCTAGGGAAAGTAATGGGGCTATCAGTGAAACAGAACAGCACTGAGCTTGCCCCTTTGCTGCGATGTAAGTCACAGAGAAAGAGACTACCTGGAAGATTTACTGATTGCTTCTAGTCAGCAGTCCAGCTGAAAACAGTGGTGCAAGGTGTCCTTTACAGTTATTTAATCATAGAGCTTCTTTTATAGAGTGAGTGTTATCATCAGTAAGACCTTCATGTACAGAAACATGGTCCATTTTGGAGCAGCCCTCCCTTGCAAGACAAAGGTAAGCACACTCATACCAACTCATTCACCCCGCAAGGAGCCCAAGATGCACATGCCAAGAAACCTTTCTCAAGTTTCATCAAATTAACTTCATAACAATACAAAAACCTGCCAACATTAAAAAAAAAGAGAGCCCAATGGATGAATAATTCCCCTCGAAACACAGCTCTTACCAAGTTTCACACTTTGGACGCGGCCTCCAATTCGATCGGTCGCCTCAAGGATAGTTACATCCGTGAAACCGCTTTCCAAGAGCGCTTTTGCTGCGGACAGGCCTGCAAGCCCAGCACCAATAACTACTATTCGAGGCTGTCGTTTTCTCCGTAGGCCACTACTAAGAGGATCATCCGTGCTGTCTCCAGATATTTCACAACTTTGCATGCCGTCCAAGCTCTCTTTCTAAGGAACCTAGGGAAAAAGCAGAGAAGCGCGTTGAAGGAACCCGGCTCAGTGGTATCCTCATCAAAATCTCAAAGAACTCTGCAAAAAGAAAAGTTCAGCAGGAGAGATAGTGCACTTGGGATGTATAAGAAGGATAACTGAGGTCAAATTGGGTTGCAACAGCCTTTTGGACTGGAGCAGGCTACTGGAAACTGGAGAAATCCCCACCCTCTATTGCCATGCAGACTATTTCCAGTGAAGCCAAAGGATTTTCAAACTCCCATCTCTTAATATAACCTTTAGAAGTGGCAATTTTGTGGTAAAGACTCTAAAAGAATGAATGAGAAAACCACATACCCACTGCTGACATGCTCCACAGCACACTAATGAAGCTTCACTTTGCCTCTGTGGCAACCACAAAGCACCAGCTTCAGATCACATAACGATGGGATAAGCTAGAGAGGATTTAGCTCAAAGCACAGAGCTCAGATATCAAAACCGATCATTACCTAAGTGGTACAGATGGACAAAATGCTTCAAATGACGAAAGCCAGCGAGAGACAGTTCAAAAATTCACAGCCATGTGATACAGATCCAAGAGCCAACATTGTCCTGACAATCAGGAATTGCCTTATTCTTAGATGAGGAGAGGTTCAAACCCACAATAGACCTGAGTAGAACAGCTTTACCTACCCAATATATCCAAATCCTTCTCCAAGCAGTATCCCGTGTTTTGCTTTGCAGATTCCTAAAGGCCATCTTTTTAACTGTGTATGCCATTACTTCTCAAATCCCATTGCCCTATTACAGTACACAACCTCAGCTTTGTATTTGAGGGTAGACCTTAATCAGAGATTGCCAAGTAGGATGCCATTATACACACATGTCAACGTCAGGACATTTGGCTCACACCAATCCTCGAGAGCACCAAGAAACTGGGCACAAAGTCCCATACTCCTCCAAGTCCAAGAAGATATCAGTCCTGATTGACAACAAGAAACACACAGCCCTGGATTCTTCAGCTCAGGCATCAGACGGCGCCCAACAGTTTTGGACAAAACATGTACAAAATTCCCAGGTTTCTTACTGCTCTCCTACCCAATACTTACCGAAACCCAAAAAGTTACTATTGCTGCTTACCTGCTTCCAAGCTGCTGGATGCTCCTTTCTGAGCTCCTTCCCAATTCTCCAAACATCTGGCCAGCATCAAAGACTCCTGTTACTCCCTTGCATCACCAGGAGAAGTTTCAAACCTCTGTGCTTGAGAAACTGCTCAACTATTTCCATATATGACCCTGCGTGCTAATTAAATACAAGGCAACAGTGATTTCATTTGGAGAGTCCCTTTTACTCTGGGATCTTAAAGTATTTATGCATGTTGGCCAAACATCTCCTGCCCTCCGTAACGAAAGTGACACCAGACTGCAGTCCATAGAGATTTCAGCAGTGGTGTGAACAATAAAGTTGTCCTTCTGGTATTCCTGACAACCATTTTGAAAATGTGTAGTTTCAGCTTGAGCAGCTTCAATTCAATTCACTCTATGTGGGCTTACCTGCAAGGGATAGCAGCACAGTGGCTACAACAAACTGTCCGTGCAGTGTGCTCCAACTGCCACCAGGCAACGGAACAGGTGACACAGAGCCACATCAAAAACTGCCACTGCTGTTAACAGCCATCACCTCCTGATGTGCAGATCTTGGCTGGCAGATATTTGTCACAGGGAGCCAGCCACAGGTATTTGAAGAGTTATTTCCAAGCCCAAGTCAAACACGTCAAGCACTCAGTGCTTTCTAGTCCATGTGTGGTCATTTGGCAGGTAGGAAAGCTGTGAGCTGCCAACACGAGGTGCTGGACTTACTGCTGAACAAGCCGTCCTCAAAAGCACTGCAATACTTTGAGGAAGTGGTAGCAAGAACATTTTCCCCCTGGTTTTGCAATCATCAGAAAAGTTCTGGAGCAGGAAGAGAGGAGGATGCAAAGCTCCCTCCCTACAGCAAGCGATGAATGGGTTAAGATCCCAGCTGCACACAACTTCCATCATTGCTCATCTTCTCTGCAGATTAAGTGAAGCCACTATATTTCATGGGACTTTGTACCAAAGCTTCTCAAGAAGCAAACAGCCCATGGATCAACCAGTACTACCTTACTTCCCAACCCAAGCATGCCAATTTATTGACTTTTCATCTAACAAGGTAAGAAGTGAGATTTCTTCGGGTTCTTTTGAGATCTTTAAAATTGGCCATGAACACTGGGACCTCTTTACTCAAAGCCTCAGGGAAGTCCATCACTGCGTATGAAGGGCAAAGAAAAGAGTGCCTAAGAAAGGCCATAGAAAGTCATATTGAAGAGTATGATTGGTACAAATAGGAACAACGCTCTCCTAATTTAAGGCCAGAAAGGTTCCAGCAGCAAATCCAGTAGGGATGTCATATAGTAGAGCCAGCATCCACACCTCTGGCTGTAACAACCCCTGCGGTCTTCTTCCCCTTGCATTTGCCTGCTCCTTTTTGAACACCTCTCTACTTCTGGCCTTCACATCAGCTCTGTGGTGAGGAGCTCCACAGTCTAATAATAACCCAGCCCTTAACAGAAATGCCTTCCAGACTTATTACAAGCCACAGACATTTTACAACGCTCTCCACTTCTCAACCAGTCTCCAGACAACACATCAATGCAAGTGCTTAGTTGCCACAGTAAAGAAACATCTCTTCTGCCACCTACACCCCATACGAACAGCTGTAGCTCAGCTTTTTAAGTGCAGCTTTCCTAATCCTAGCTTTGGCGAGCTCGTGTGAATTCTTCGCATGAAAGCTTCAAGAAAATGTTTTTCCCTCCTGTTTCAGAATTTTAATACTGGATTAGGTGAGCTGTCTAGACAGATGAGAAAATAACAGGTTGTTTTGTGTGTTCAGAATCCTGATTTAGAAACCACTTTTAATTAGCCAACAACCTTTACTGCATGATCAGCAGGGGAAGGCAATTAAGATTTAGCAAGAACCTGGACTTCCCAATCAAATGCACACTTCATTGTGAAATGAACAGACAATAAAGCATCTATGAATCCCCACTGCACTTGATTTTAGTATTATTTATACAGTGGGAGGTTCATAAGTAAGATAAGCACATAAAATACCTTATTTTTTTAGTGTGCGATGCCCTACCGTCATTATTTGCCAAGCCACCAGCCAGGGTTACACCCAGTTATGATATTTATATGCACATCATCTCCATCGTGTCTTAAAAATGCAGCCTTGGTCCTCTTACCTCTTATTTATGAGTGCCTTACTCATGGTATTCTACTCAATTCATTTCTTCTCACTGTCCATCATCATGCTGCCCACACCTCCCTCAGTGCCACTACCCTTCATTTGCCCCTTCTCACTAC